CGTTCTATTTATGTCTTTTTTTCCTGCACCTTCGATTCGAATGTGTTTGTTGTAAGAATACTCTAGGAGGCTAGGCCTAGTTGTTTTCTGAGACTAGGCTAGCGGCAGCCAGTGCGTGTGGTGCGATGATTTTTTGAAAAAAGCTAGGCCTAGGTTTGGCAGGTGCATAATATATCACCCTTCTTATTCAGGGATCAAATTTGCGTATGAAAAATACGAGATGAAAATGTAACAAATAAACTTAACACACAGAAATTAAAAAAAACTTACAACTTACAAGTTACATTCAGTCAATAAAAGAACAGTGATTTTAGTAAAATTTAATATTTACACTCATCTCACAGTATACTTACCTCTTTATTTAAACCAAACAAAGTAAGTCATAATTATCATTACCACCCCTTCCCCCCCCATCTAATAACTGTTCATGCGCGAAAAAATACTCACAAGATTCAGCACCCACCCTTAAAATTTTAATACCCACCCTTAATTTTCACTGGCTACATCCCTGCTTTGTAAGAAAAGATAAGATAGGTAAGATCCGATGGAGAAAGGTTGCCTTACAGCTACAGTGTGGCCTCTCAATTATTAACCTATTCTTCACTAGGAAAACAACTGGTTAAGTCAGCAGCCACTTCAAGACACAAGACACTTGTGCTCCCTCCAATTAAAGACCACTTCTAGTATTGGGGTTTTCATGGTCTTTAGCAACTTTTGTCTCTAATTAGAATAATATAGATAGAATACAATTGTAATTTAGGACCACAGAAAAGTGGTCTTTATATGGAAGGGTCTTTATATAGAAGGAAACCTGTTATAGATTTCTACCATTTACACAAAATCACACTGTGCTCTAAAAAGACAAGGAGAGCCAGAGAGGGTGCAATATTTGTACTGGTGCCATCACTAAAACAAGGAAAGTAAAAGGATTGAATTTTGACATTTGTTCTCTTAACTAGTACAAGTGGGACATACAAAAAGTGCGATTGAAGTTTTTTGTGTTTCTGAGAGAGTGCTTTATCATCCTGATAGATTTAGAGGTAGCCATATCACATCAAATAAAATAACCTAAAGTGCCTACAAGTAGTGGAAGTGCAATGAGAATTTAAAATAATCTAAGACTCACTAAATTCAATATCTTTGTAAGAAAAGATAATTTAAATCAATATACTGAAGACATTAGATCCAGTAAATTCTTGCTGTGCACCAAGATACTATTGTTAAAGTAGAACCAACCACCCAAATTCACATGGACGAAACACAATAACCACAATACCATGGAGGATAGAAAGTCAATGTACTGAAGACATTACTGTAAATACAGAATGTTAAACTACTGTATACACAAAGAAACTATTGTTTAAATAGGATCATAAATTCAAAGATCACCTTGACATTGCAAGACTCATTAAATTGAATAGCTTTGTAAGAAAAGATAGGATAGGTAAGATCCTATGGAGAAAGGTTGCCTTACAGCTACTGTACCAGTGTGGCCTCTCAATTATTAACCTATTCTTCACTAGGAAAACAACTGGTTAAGTCAGCAGCCACTTCAAGACACAAGACACTTGTGCTCCCTCCAATTAAAGACCACTTCTAGTATTGGGGTTTTCATGGTCTTTAGCAACTTTTGTCTCTAATTAGAATAATATAGATAAAATACAATTGTAATTTAGGACCACAGAAAAGTGGCCTTTAATTGGAAGGGTCTTTATATAGAAGGAAACCTGTTATAGATTTCTACCATTTACACAAAATCACACTGTGCTCTAAAAAGACAAGGAGAGCCAGAGAGGGTGCAATATTTGTACTGGTGCCATCACTAAAACAAGGAAAGTAAAAGGATTGAATTTTGACATTTGTTCTCTTAACTAGTACAAGTTGGACATACGAAAAGTGCAATTGAAGTTTTTTGTGTTTCTGACAGAGTGCTTTATCATCCTGATAGATTTAGAAGTAGCCATATCACATCAAATAAAATAGCCTAAAGTGCCTACAAGTAGTGGAAGTGTAATGAGAATTTAAAATAATCTAAGACTCATTAAATTCAATATCTTTGTAAGAAAAGATAATTTAAGTCAATATACTGAAGACATTAGATCCAGTAAATTCTAGCTGTGCACCAAGATACTATTGTTAAAGTAGAACCAACCATCCAAATTCACAGGACGAAACTGTGCGGTAAAAAGCTTTGTCCGTTCGCGATCTTTGTTGCTACTGTATGTTCCAATTTCCTGCTAACATAATGCGGCAAATTGTGACACGGTACTACCAACGACAACAAAGTGCACACCAAAAACTATTTTGAAGAGCCACCAATAAAAGTTCCCTCGACATAGCAAGTGTTTCTTCATAATAAGATATACAGTAAATAGCAGTTATTATCCACAATCAACATCAAAATTGTATCTTAATCCATTCAAGACTTAAATCTTATTTATACAAAGTCCCCCTCATCAACTTTTAATACGGTCCTGGAGCAAATCATCATGGAAGAATCACAGCTAGCAAGAAGGTCAAACTGAATACAATTAATTCCATTAATCTTTGTTTAGAAGAAATAATAAACATTACAGTTAATTCATTTAACAACCGTAACTAGATAAGGTAATGAAAGTTTCACAACACCATAAGTTGAACAATCTAGGGCATACATGTCATGTTACAGAAATTACCGTACTCCAATAAAATTTGACAAGCAATACAATTAGACTATAGACGCATGTTTGCTGTTTGTTGCAATTTATATTTAATTTGTTAATTATATTGGGTTTTTTTTTGTTTTTTTTGGAAGGAGTGGCAAAATAGAGAAGGCCTGAAACAGAGAATTTTGAAGACAGAAGTTTTCTTCAACAAGAACTCCCACAGGGTGTAGTAGAAAGAAATGATAGAAAACAGTTACAAAGTGTT